CCTTTTCTGGAAAATTATTTTATTTTTCCGCAAAATATTCATTTATTACATACAATCTATAGGTGTGCGGTTGTGTTAGTTTATGTCGGATTTCATCCCCACCTCACCCATTAAGTTAATTTATGTTTTCATTAACCCCTCTCTCTTTCAGACATGATGATGGAAGAGAGCCTCTTCCACCATAAATAGTTTACGTTAGATTTCGTCATTCCCCCTCCCATTGCATTAGGTTAGTTTACGTAGGATTTCATTCCCCCGATCACACTCTTCACCACAACCTAATCAGTGGGCGAGTGGTTGAGGCGTGTGGCAGCTATATCTATTTTACCCTACTAACATTCAATCAAAATATTTAATTAGTATATTTAAAGTATATTTTTGACTTTGATGAATATTTCTTATAGACCATTTATTCATAATTAACAACAAATTATCTTCTGAAAAGTTTTGTATCAAGCCCTTCAATTTTTATACACATTTGCCATAATACTAACAACTACTTTATGATTTTTTTATAATCTCTCCGTAAAAATTACAATACTAAATTATTAATAATCAAATTTATTTTCGTTGATTGCTATAATAGATATTTATTCATATATTATACTTATAAATCATAGAACTACTAATTATGAATAATGAAATATGTAGGAGTTAATTTTGCTTTTGGAATAATCCTTCAATTCTTAAAATCTACAGATTTGCATCGAAGCGATTCTTACGATAGTGATTTTAATCACTGTCAGATGTCATCTATACTAGTCCTAACTATGCCCGTCCACACTGTGCTACCGTTTTTAGTTAAGTAAGATTCTTCAATAGACAACTTTGGTATTAAATTTAATATGCTATAAAACATTTTATCTTCAATTTTACTTTAATTGATTATGTTCATTATACCATGGTAATATTATATAAAAAAACTCAAATTAGTTATAATGAAAATTAATTTTGTATTTTTGGAAGTCATTAAAGGGACAACATAACATCTTGGCTTGAACGATATTAAGTAGTTTATCATATGTTACTCTATAGAGTAATTTACTATGAAAATCTGCCGATAGATTTGAACCATAGCGATTCTTATGATAGTGATTTTAATCACTGTCAGATATCATCTAAACTTGTCCCAACAATGCCAATTCCACACTGTACCACAAACCCTCTGTGTTACGGTTTATTTTTAAGTTTTATGAAGGAAAAAATAGCCATTAACTTGATGTAATATTAATTTTTTAATAAAAAAATGTATGTATTTATTTTTTTACTACTCACTATAATAATCTGAATTCCTAACGATATCTAAATAACAAATAAGTTACAATAAAATATTTTTAGTATTATCTAATGCATATCAGTCAAATAAATAATTATTTACAATCAAAATTCTGGAACAATTCAAAAGCTAAAAAAATTACATCTCATGATTAATTTTACATTTATAAAATTTTATATGCTTATACGTAATATTAATAAATATCCCATGAAAAACCTGCCCAAAAAGTATTTTTGTATTAATATTTCTGCATATTAATAACAATTTTTTCATTCTTAGACTTTGAAAAAGTTTTAGAAACTCTGTCATCTTTAAATAGAGCTTTATTTAAAGTTTATATAATGATCCTTACGTTGAAATAAATATAGCCCTCAGAACTTACTTTCTTTGTACGGTTTTTAAAGTCAAGAAATGAAATATGATTTTTGTGTACAAATCGAAAAGTTAAGTTATATGAATTGTTGCTCAAAAATATTTTCAAGAAGGACACGTTTTTAGATAATGGTGTCTAATCTATAGTATAATGACGTGAAAAAGGTATACTGCTATTCAATAAAAAAATTTCGAAAATCCTGATAACGTTTAAATACAGCTTTAATAAAAATTTAATCAGAATGCTCAATAAGTAAAGAAACAGGTCAATTGTTATATATTCATTAAATACATTTCACTTATTTTATACAGTCCACTCTCTACTTCTTTCTCCTGCATGATTAGATACAACAGGAAAGAACGTTAACTAACCCGCATATTATCACAGAATGTTGCGTTCATAACACTATTCATCAAAATTTTTCCTGTATGTAAAAACTCAGACATATTTTTAAAAAGTGTATTTTAAAGTTTTATGTAGGAAATATTAGCCTCTAAATTGTAGTTATATAAAGATTTAAATTTCAAATTTTATGTTTCTTATATCCATTTCCCCTTCTTATTATTATAATCTGAAGTCATATTGATATCTAAATAACAAATAAGTAACAATAAAATATTTTTAGTATTATCCAGTGAATATAAATTCAAAAGTATTTTTTTAAATCGGTTATAACCTTAGTAATATAGCAAGTGGACATTTGTCGGCCTACAACAAAACGTGGTTTGCCGTTTGCCTAACGACTAACTATGATACAGTGGTCGCAACCAACTAGGCGAATTTTCACACCTATCAGATATGATTACCGGACCATTGATGGAATTTAATTTGAATTAATATGTTTTAAATATAAATCATTATAACACCTTATGGTATATAATCTTAATTATGATAATTGAAGTTGTAAGTGGTTGATATGTAAAACATACCGTATCCCATATCTAAATAAGGTACAGGAATAATATACATGTGAGTACTTAACCTACGCACACACTATAATTAAATTTTTACTGGTTATATTCAAAGGTAGTATTGCGTTGGATATTGTCGCTATAGCGTTAGTAGAAAAACTTTATAGCGAACCTCGTTGGTGAAATACAAGACTTTATCGCTCCATTAGATAACGCATCAAGTTTTATCGGGTCAAATCGCCAACTTAAAGAGTATTATATCAAACGGAAGAGCATCAAAAGAAAACTAATATCATGTTGTCTGAAAACAGTGTGGAGTGAAATTTTATTCTAGCGCGCTCGACACACTTTGATGGCCTGTGGGAGACCGGAGTACAATCGATGAAATATCTATTGCATAGGGTGTTGCACATTTATTTTGTAATTAGCTATTTACTGTAAAGCAGAATAATGCTTCAATAGTCGCCCATTAACATTTATATCCTTCGATCCAAGCGACTTGTTTTAAATCACTCCTGTTCATTTGCTCATTAGTCATTCTCTAACTGCCCTATCTGAACCGGATCAAACGAACATATCTAATAACTATTTAACACATTGAAAGCGTGTTTCTCAATATTTCAAAAGTATATGGAAGCACTGGTGTCGGAAGTATTTAGCTCAATTGTAGGAAAGAACAAAATGGGCATCTGAGAAAGTACCTAAGATAAAATTAAGCACCATTGTGCTTCTCAAAAATGTGAATATTCCGTCTTTTAAATGGCGGAAGATAGCGTCATTCGGATAGCTAACGTTTAAACCACGAATGGTTCTTTTCGATGAGAGGTTAATTGTGTACATCGCCAATCGAAGAAAAATAATTTTGTCGATTTTGTAAAAAATATATGTACTTATTTGATGTGTGTAATAATTATTGTTTGTTAGATATTTGTATTCTTTACGATAAAATATTTTAATAACGCGTTGTTTGATTATTTATTTTTATATTTAAGTACGTATTTTTTTTTTTTTTAAATACTGTTAACTACTAAATTATCAATAAGCCTTGAGGATAATTCTCCAAGGCCGGCGCACCGGTACGGTATAGCTTAGATTTTTATTAGTATTGTTGATAAGCATATTGTAGAATTTTATTCTATAGAGAAAAACCAGTCACCGAACAAATGTCGCACTAGGAGATTATAGTAAAAATTTGTTGTATTGATTTAAAGCATAATTTGCTCGGGTTGCTATTTTTTCATTATAAGTAAATACAGTTTACAACCGCAACACATCCTTAAATAAATCAATGTTAAATGGTATGTTATAACGTTTATTTGTATTTCATAAAATTCTTAATTTTTCTATAGGAATTATAATTATAATTATTTTATATATAATTTAGAGTTCTTTAGTCAAGTACTTACCTAGTTCTCGATTAATAACATTGACATCTAAACAAATATATAAACATTGAATTAGCGATTATAAAACATATTCTATGTATCATATTTCTACTTTTTATGATATCACTATACATAGATACGTACCGATTATTGTCAGTTATAACTTTATATACTGATATGCTTTAATTATGATAGTTTATAAGGCACAATCAGGCTACATTAAGGAATTGTGCCACACGGCATACTCAATTCTGCCACCCCCATTAATCTTTTTTCACTCATCAAAAAAATTTTCTCTATTTATTTATGCAAAAATATAAATAAAATCATCAACTCTATAATTTATATAGTATCATATTTTAGTGTCTTCATTAAAAACTGCTGCCCAGTGAACTCGCACACAATAACCCCCTAAATACGGCATTGGACATTATATTAAGTGGACGTTGTATAAAAAATTCAAAAGCCATTTACAATTAAAAACATATTTTGCAATCTCGGCTATAGTATGGGCAATTTGCGAATAAATATGGTTTTTTTATTACTTATATTAATCTTATCTTCATGATTAAATTACTACGTATTACTACGTAACTATCAATTTTATTTGAAGTGTCTGTTTCTATTTATTTTTTAAATATATATATTTATTAATAAGTATACTTAAATTATATTTATAAATAATATTTTATTATACTATTTAAGGTTTAGCATCGTTTCAAAAAAAAGATCCTTAAGCCAATATAACGAAAAAAAGACACAAAAATTAAAAAAATAATAAACACATCTTGGTATATTCCCGTATACAATAATTCATTTTTACAGTAAAAAATATCGTAAAAAAATTAACAAAATAAATACCAAGATAACACCCCAAATATTATAGTAGCCTCCAGTGCCTTTTTTGGACTGTCTATGTTACTGAATTATGCAGGAAATCTTAATAACAATATTTTAATAAAAAATTTAACTATACAAAATTTAATTATACAAAATTAATATATGGGTCTTGCACTAAAAATAAATAGTTATAAAATTTATCATTATATTACAAAATATTATTAATATACCTGCTTGAATGTCAGGATTATCGTATACATGATTGCATAAAGGACAACGGTAGCTTATCTTATTAAATTTCCAAGTATCAATACAACCTTTACAAAATTTATGTGGACAGACGACTCCTATTGATGTATCTGGATAATTGTCCCAACAGACGGAACATGTCTCTAAAAAAATTGATATTTCAGTTTGACATGATAAGACATTGTTCTATACAAAATTATGAAGTAGAAAAAATTGTTTTGGAATTTTAACACTACGATAACTTAGCTACACAATGCTTCATTTGTCAAATTATCGCTTGACTTATTCATAATAAATTTTCATTAAATACTAAATTAATAATTAATAATATAAAAAGTTAATTAAGTTTTAACTTACGATCTGCAATTCGGTCATCGCCTTGGATATCACAAGCTTTGAAAATACATTAATAAATATATATAATATAAATCAAATACATAGACTGATATTTCATGTAAGAAATAAATAAGATTAATAGTAGACCATACAGTCCTAATAATGTATGTTCATCCATATAACCGTGATGAAATTTATATATAATTATCAAACATTGATTCATAAAATATATAACATATATTACAATGGTCACACTCAAAATCGTATCCTAATAAAAACTCTGCGCAAGCACAAAAAAAAAACTTTGTATAACGCTAAAATATGAACAGATTGAAATGTTTTTTTCATGATACCTCGGAAATTGATCCCGTTTCTAGACGGGTCTCATGAAAATTTCATACATTTGGTTTAAAAACGCTGATGTCAATAGGGGTTATTGTCAAATAGGGTCGAAATTTTAAATGTGCGCGGACGAGCGGCAAGTTTTTTCGACCTTCGCCAATAATTTTCCTGGAGCCTTATGACCGAATAATTTCATTAGAAAAAATATTTTCAAAATCGGAACACACTAAGTAATTTTCTCATAATATTTAGCGTTTTTTTTCTTGTAATATAACATATTTACTATCTCATATAAATTGCAAATTATGATTTTTTTTGCTACTTATTTATTATTGTGTTATTCAATAATTTATTGTTTATATCATCAGATTTAATAAATTCTTAATTAATAATGATAAAATTTTAACTTACGTTCTTCGTTTACATTATCGCCTGGGATACCATATAATTTCAAACATAATAATAAATAAATATATTTATTTATACACTTATAATCATTTATTTCTTAATTTGAAAAATATATTTCAATAATAGTTCATGAAACATAAATCATAGGTCGAAGAGACACTAAAAAATCGGTACAGCTTTCCTAGTCTCTCTCTATTAATTATTTATAGATTTATTCAAATTCTAAAATTAAATTGCACAAAACATTTTTATTTTATATGTAGATATACTGTTTACTAATGGACATTGTTATGAAAGTATGTAATAAAAATAACACTTGAATTCTTTATTAAAATAAAGAGTTAATTACGTTTTAACTTACGTTCTTCATTTTGGTCATCGCCGTGAATGTTACATGCTTTCAAAATATATATATAAAATTATCATTTATATTATTAATCATTTATACTATGCTATCGTATAATTATAGATTTATAAGAGCACTATTAATTATATCATACATTTCGTATCGTGTGATGTGTATTACAATCACCAAACATGTAAAAATAAATCGTTATAAAAAAATGATACTGAATTTGTGACTGTTTAGTGCACCTGGGGACATGTCCTCAACAATAATTTTTCAATCTCTACCAACACACAACACCAAGAAAAATGAGACAAATTTTATTGAAATGTCTACGATAAATACCGCTGGATCTCGTGGGCCTTAATTACTTTACTCTAAGAAACATGAATATTATTCATTTGACACGGCCCGCGTCGCTTCGTTATACACGATGCCCCGCGACTCGTGCCACCTTTATCAGCCGTCGCCCTACTATGAGTATTTGACTGACCAACACCGCGTGTTATACGCTACGGTGCAAAGTCCAACAAATGCCGCACGGCCGACGACGACCCGCCGCAAATGGTGCGAGAGTCTTCCTCCCGTTGTGAAAGCGACAACGTCGACAGCCGAACCGCACCCGCGCACCGTCGCCTACAACGCTGCTAACCATTTTGCCGTCCAAGGATTACGCCGAACATCGCGTCGTCGACGAGAGCGAAAGTGCCGCGATATTATGCGAAGATTATTATTACTATGTTTATCTTTTCGGTTTGTTTTATTTTTGTTAACTTAATCTGTTGTCGCTCATTTAATAAACGGCCCACGGGTCTCTACCCTCAAAACCATTGTCGACCACATTTTTGCGACGTAAGTCGTGTCACATTGAAATATATAATATTTTTATGAAATAAATACTATAAAATTAATTTTTCTAATTACTTTTAAATTATCATACCATACTATTCTTCCGTATTTTAAAAGTGTAACATTATCTTCTATAACTCTGCGCCACTAAAATTTTGTACTCAGAATTACGAAAACTACATTTCTTTTTCTAAAATCTACAAATGGGTATAACTCTTGTTCGTAAAGGAAAACTTCAACATTTCTGTTGTTGGCTTACGGTATTTTATAGCAAACAAAAACACTCTATTTAAGCTAATAATGTGAACTGTATTTTTACGATATAACTTTTACATTTCTTATACGAATAAAACTTTCAAAACGCAAGTCTTACCATTCGAAATTTGGTTTACCACTGACTAACAACAAAAGAGACTTACGCCGCACCACCTCGTGCCTACTCAATAACAATATAGATCTCGTATCCCCTATGTCGACCTATTTCAATAGTCAGAAATATAATATGAAATGACTAATTTACTTCTAACTTACTTTTTTCATTTTGGTTATCGGCTGGGATACCATCTGCTTACAAAATATAAAAAATAATAAATACAAAGTAATGGGTTTATCATAAACCATTCCGTTTTTAGTAAAATAAATACAATGATAAGAAAAAATTGTATTTTTTTTAATTACATATATTTTTTGATTTATTAGCAATAAATTAGTTTTTAAAATTATCCTTCATAACTTATAGAGATGTCAACTTTATTNGTTTTTAAAATTATCCTTTATAACTTATAGAGATGTCAATTTTATTTTTTTCAAATGACAACGTATTATTTACTAGCTTCTTTAACAAATAATGATGACTTATGAAAATGACTAGTAGATAACAACCAGTCATTTTATGAATTTAATCATTATCATTAAATAAGCTAGTAAATTATGTACGTTGCCACTTGATAAAATAAAGTTCACACCCTTGCAATTTATAAGAGATGATTCTAAAAGAAATTATTAGCTGATAAATCAAGAAATATAAGTAACTAAAAATAAAAACAATTTTTTTAAATATATATCTTGAGAATAATCATGTGGTTTATGATACTCCATGATATTTATGTTAGCTTCGATGCGAATTAATTATTACCATTCATTTGGTGTACTTTTTTCATAAATTTAACCCTTAACCTGCCCACATGTGGGGATTTAAAATGACAACTTTTTCACAAAAAATTAGTTTTTTCAACTTAACTTTTGAAAATGTTCCGGAAGGTCTGACACTTTTATATATATCTTAAATTAAAGCTAATGTAATATACTTTAATTTGAAAAAAAAAAATTTGACCTCTGGACTTGTCTTCGTGGTGAAAATGGCTACCAAATGCTATTTTTGTGTGAAAATTCTCGATTTTATTTTTAAAATTTTTAAATTTATAATGCTATAACTTTTTGAAAAATGTATGGATCAATACAATTTTTTCATTAGAAGTATTATTTATATACATCTTTCATTCGACATACTTTTTTTTTAAATCAGACTATTTCCCTATATATGGGGGGGCTTCAAATATAAAAAATGCATATAGAAAGTAGAACTTTNCTGTTTTTTTAAATCGGACCATTTTCTTATATACGAGGGGGGGTTTAAATCTAAAAAATGCATATAGAAAGTAGAACTTTTTCAACTAAACTTTTGAAAGTGTTCTTTGAAAGTCTGACACTTTTATATATATCTTAAATTAAAGCTTATGTAATATGCTTTATCATGGAAAAAAAAATTTCGGAATTTATCTTATCTACACAGTGAAAACAGACATCAATGTTAATAAAAGAAATTCGATTTTTGTAAAAAAATTCTTTTTTATATTTTTAACTTTATAATGCTATAGCTTTTTGAAAGATCTATGGATCAATATAATTCTTTTTTTTGTGGATGCATGATGTTTTTACCTATCATTTGGNTTTTTTTTGTAGATGCATGATGTCTTTGCCTATCATTTGGTATAATTTTTTTATAAATCTGACTTTTTACCTGCCTATAGGGGGGGATTCAAAATGACAACTTTTTCACAAAAAATTGACTTTTTCAACTTAAATTTTGAAAGTGTTCCGGAAAGTCTGACACTTTTANTAAATTTATGAAAAAAATATACCAAATGAAAGGTAATGATATTATGCATCTATATAAAAAAGAATTATATTGATATGTTCATTTTTGAAAAAGTTATGGCACTTTTAAGTAAAAAAAATTGAAAAAATTTCGAAAATTAGCGATTTTTAAATTTGTAATTTTTTTGGAGGTTTCCCCCTTTTACGGGGAACGAGGG